GATAAAAACTTCAAAAAATAAAATCCTTCGAGAGGTAGTTATATTACTACATCTACTAGTTAGGAAAATTTGAAAACTTAAATTTGGACATGTTTTGCAAAAAGTGTAGGGAAAATGTAAAACGGCTATAACTTTTGCATACGATGTCGGAAAAAAACGTATAATATATCAAAAAATTCAGCACGAAAATCCGCATGCGATGGAGACAGCCTACGGTCTGTTTGGAATTTTTTAGAATCCTCAAATTCCAAAAGAAAAAAAAGATATGGTCAAATTTCAATTTTTTTTAAATTTTTGGTTAAATCTGGTCAAACTACTTATTCAAGAAGTATTAATGTTACTACATAATTATTCAAGAATATTAGTGTTACTAAATAATTATTTCAATTTTTTGAATTTTGGTCAAATCTGGTCAAACTATGGTCAAACTATGGTCAAACTATGATCAAACTTATTCAAGAAATATTAGTGTTACTAAATAATTACTGTTTTTTAGAATAATAGTTTCAAACTCAAACAGTGAAATGTGTGACTTCATACTCAAGCTAAACTTCTGAGGGTTAATAGGATTGGCATCTTACTATTGTTAGGAAAACAACAAGTGCAGACTTGGAAACGAAGGAGAATAGAACTCGAAAGTTAAGCGTGCTCGGGCTGGAGTAGTGAGAGGGATGGGTGATCGGTCGGGAAGTTAGATGATTTGGAATGAGTGATCCACACTTGAGCAGTTAAGAGAGGTGATTAGAGACTAAATCACCAAATAATTTAGAAAAATTAAAAATCAAAAAAAATAATCAAATTTTTTTTCCAAAATTTTCAAAAAAAAAATTCAAAAAAAACCTTTAGTACCGGTTGGTAACAGGTCCCCCATACCAGGGCGCGAGCTCACGCCACGTGGTGGCACTTTAGCGCCGGTTTGTGCCGAACCGGTATTAAAGGAGGGAGGGCCTTTAGTGCCCACCAATTAGTGCCGATTATGAAACCGGCACTAAAGGCCCTTACGAACCGGTTTTAAAGCTCCGTTTTCTACTAGTGGTGATCGGTCGGGAAGTTAGATGATTTGGAATGAGTGATCCACACTTGAGCAGTTAAGAGAGGTGATTAGAGACTAAATCACCAAATAATTTAGAAAAATTAAAAATCAAAAAAAATAATCAAAATTTTTTTCCAAAATTTTCAAAAAAAAAAATTCAAAAAAAACCTTTAGTACCGGTTGGTAACAGGTCCCCCATACCAGGGCGCGAGCTCACGCCACGTGGTGGCACTTTAGCGCCGGTTTGTGCCGAACCGGTATTAAAGGAGGGAGGGCCTTTAGTGCCCACCAATTAGTGCCGATTATGAAACCGGCACTAAAGGCCCTTACGAACCGGTTTTAAAGCTCCGTTTTCTACTAGTGGCGAGTAGTGGCCCTCCCGGCACAGCTCGCGCGCCGCCGCCAGGCCGGCCATGCCGGCCCCCACCACGCACACGCACAGGCTCTTGGACTGCAGCACCGGCTCGCCGTCTCCAGCAGCCATGCCGAAGCCGAAGGATGGATCGGTTGACGCAGCGCTCTGCTTTCCTTGGTTTTCAATCACGGCCAAGGATTGGGTCGATAAGATTCCTTAGGATGGGCTCCAACACCAGCTAGCTAGAGCCACAAGCCAAAACATAACATCGGATAGCACCCTGTCGGTTCATTGCCCACCGGAGACGGAGACGGAGAGCGTCACTGTGATAGAATTCCTTTTTCAAGCTTCATAATCAACCGATCAATCTGCTGCAACAGGACACGTCAAGACTCAAGACCCAGGAAGGGCGTTCGTGGGATGGCGACGCGCCAAGGGGTTCGTGGGCGGGAACGAACTAGCGGGTCAGCCTTGGAGATGACTTAATCACATTATTCATATCTATGAGTATAATATGGTGTTCGCGCATAATATATTCAAAATATTTAGTACTCCCTCCTTTCCGGTTGAGTGAAGTCTGAAATAAACCCTGAGGTTGTAGAGGCCGACGCAAATGAACCCTCATCTTTAAATCCCTAAAATCTGTACCCTGACCTCTCTGATCCCGGTCTACTCGAACCCTAGATACGTTTGGCACATCGGGAAAAGCACAATCCTACCCGGGAACCTGCTTCTTTCACTGTTGGCGCTGATCAACGCATCATAGACATTCTTCCTCGTTCCCATCTATCTCCTGCTATTCCGTTTCCTCGGATCTATCAATGGCAATAGCACATAGCACAATATGCCCGGCTTAAAAAAGAAGAAGCATAGAGCATAGCAAAGACGAGAGTGTCACCTTGTGTGAGCTTAGCATGTAGCATGTGCACATAGGAAAGCTGCTCTTTCCATGTGCACGGCAGCGGCGAGCAGTAGCAACAGTAGATGGTAGATGGTATTGACCAGCGTGGGCAGCGGTTGCTTATGGTCGGGGACATCACCAGCCACAATAGTACGCTGCGCCGGCGAGCGGCACCAACAGTACCACGGCC